TGAGGTCAGGAAGGTTTCTCTAAGGGTGATCTTACAAGTGGGGATTTTGACACCAACAGGTCTGGCCTGGGTTTTTGAAGGAGCAGACTTAGCCTGTGGAGGCGGCAGTGAAAAAGGTTTAGAGGGATGGGGAAACCTGCACTAACATGGCTTCCAGGACAGGCCTGTTATTCATCCTCACAAACGTCTCTGCCTCTAGCGATAACTGTCCCAGGGGCTTCGAGGGACGTGTATGGATGTTTCAGTCAGGAGGGGGACTTGCCCAGAATATCCTCAATTCCCACTGAAAACAACACTCCAGGTTGTTGTGAAGGAGATACTCACTGAAAACCCCACTGACCAAAGAACGTGGCAAATCATGAGGTATTTCTGAGGCACTCAGTGTAATTCTCAAAGAAAAAGTCTGTGCTTAAATAGCTGGAAGCAGCCACCTTCCCCCCGGGACTCCCTTTGCTGTGCTGACAAAAGGGCAACAGGGCAGCAGACCAAGTGCTGAGCCTGAACCACACACGTTCCATCGCCACAAAGAATATTTGCTGGCCCTGCAAATGTGGTGAAGTCAATCAATTTTCTGACAGGTCAATGTAGTGACCTAAGCCTAATACCCTCAGGAGACGTCCAGTATCAAAGTCGGAAATAGCAACACCCCAGTCAGAAGGAATATCGAGACCACATATAAGGTAAACCCTATCCTGTGCTCATAACCTCCTAACTGGTGTTAAATGCAATCAAGAGTCAAACTCGGAAGCCCCGAAAGCTTCCATCTGCTCTAGGGGTCTGCTCTAAATGAATAAAAACCAGGTTGAAAAGGGACAACCAACCACATACTGCGGACTGCGAAAAGCACCACGGGCAGATCACATGCTGCTCTGGCTTGGAGGTTAAGGTCAGAGAGAAAAGCACATGGAAACAGCATTTATTTACCTTGCACTCCTCAGTTTTCAGTGCTGGCTGCCCGGTTGGGTCTACGGCCTCTCCGTTCATCGTAGGCAAGATCATGCCCTGCGTGAACTCTGAAAAGATAAAATTGCCGCTCCTGGAAGTTATTTCTCAGTAGCTGAGATTTGGGGCTTCTTTAGAGTTTGACAAACATGGCCATCTTGCCCCAGAATGAGGTAACAACAGAGAAAGAGTCTATCTACTTCATGCCTTTACCTTTGGTCTATGCCAGACAGGTATCTGAGCGTATGCTGCAGGACAGAGTGTTAACTTGGATTGTCTTGAACCCGACTCCATTAGAAGCATTACAACTTGTCAAATGTACATGAGACCTACTTTGGATGGGAGCGAGTGACGGTAGTGGCACTTGCAATGACTTCAAGAGGGCGAGACGCCCACAGATGCAGACGTAGTCCCTTCCCCACTCTGCCTCACCTCTACAGAGCAACCACAGTTAGTTAACGGTACCAGAGCAAGTGCTCCCACAAGGAGAGGTGGCCCTTCTACGCTGGTCCCCCGACAGCCCTGCTATGTACTCCAACACCAAGATCAGAACACACGGGCCAAACTGGAATTCTAAGGGGAGAGCTCAGCTAACTGCTACCTAACGACCCCCGAAGTGTCCCTGGCGAATGCGCATCAAAGATAGGCCAGGACTGTGCTCAGTGAGTCTAGGCGATGCCAAGTCTTTACATCAGCACTGTCCAACAGAAATACAGGGTCAGCCTCACACAGAATTTTACATTAGCCACATTACAGCGTTAAAACAAACAAGTGAAATTAATTTTAATAATATATTGAATGCAATATTTCCAAACTATCATTTCACGGTTATCAACATAAAAAAGCTACTCATCATTCACCTTCTTTTTTTTGTACCAAGTTTTCAAAACCCACTGTATTTTATACTCATGGCACAACTCAATTTGGACTAAGCCACATTTCAAGAGCTCAATAGTCAATATATCAGACAACCCATCTCTAGATCTTTCCCTTACTGAGTTTATAGACTGACTTGGAGATGAAATAAGCCCCCTCCCGCAAAATCTTTATTCATTTGGCAAAGAAAGGTCTGTCAGGCCCCTTACTCAGCAGTCTGATGGCCGGGGGTTGGCGGGGGGACTACTTCCTCAAGGCATACATAACTACTCAAGGGATACCTGTTTTGAGGGTGCTGATGTAAATTCCCATTGCTTCTCTTAGAAGTTTCACCCCTTCTTCCTTCATTAAGGCCACGAGATTTGTGTCAGGCTCATCTTTGGCAAGGCTCACACTAATCTGAGTGAAAGATCAGAAGTAGGTGGTAAATAACTTGAGGGGCACCCACAATGTGGAATGTGGGTGCTGCGCAATCAGATAACCGCTGACATTTCCAAAGGAAATGCGTGAGGGTTGGGGCATTTTTCCAATCCCTATGAGTGCTCCTTCTCGAGTTCTCTCTGCCAAAGCCATGGTGGCTAACGTTAGAACCCAAGTTACTAGCTAAAACAGTAATTAAATAAGCACCAGCTGTGCTGGAAGCTCCCAGTGGCATCACAGACCTAGAAAATCATCTGCAGACTGAGGTTCTGAAGGCTGGAACCCAGCCTGGGCTTTCATCTTGAATGATAGGTCATTTTTCTCATCTGAGAATAGAGGATGTGGAAGACTCAGATGAGGAATTAGGAAGCACAAACCTCTACTTCATCCACACTGTTTTCATCAGATAAATTGGGGATCTCCACATGTCCCTTGTACTGCACTCCAGACTTAGAGGTACCTGTCAAAAACAACGCAATGTCATTAGTCTCTCCTGCAGGCAAAGTCTGCTCTGGAGTCCTACCTACTCCTCTGCTTTTACTTCTTTTGAAATACTGAACTGACCCTCTTTATTCTGAGAGAATGCCAGATGCAATCAGCCCTCCCCCCCTTCCCCAGAAGAAACGTCTTTCCTCATTAAATTTGCTGAGACCAACTGTGTTATTACTGTAGCGGACTAAGAGCTACGTGGATGTGGCACTAGCGTGAATTCTGCCAGGGAGAATTTGGGTCGATAATCAAAGCAGTCAGTTCTGCTAAGATGCTTGTTCTGAAAATGAAGTTTGTTCCAGTGTGATTGACATATTAGGGGACAATCTGATCACAGCATGAATGTCACGCTTGCTAATACGGGATTTCTTCCATGAGAAACACTAGGTGAACACACACAAAACTGCACCCAGCTGAAAGGAGCTGCACAGGAATACACAGACACACACTTCCCAAACATTTATCTACTAGCAACCTCAGTTCCCCCTGTGTTACGAGCCACCCACACTGGTGTTATAACGTTCCCTCTGATTTCAGCTGACCCTCCTTCCGCCAATTCACAATAACCTGCATGCTGCAACCCTTCTGATGCCCACTTTCACAAGTGAACTTTGGGTCTTTTTCAAGGTAAAGTGGCACGTTTACTGTATTTTTAATGTATATCTTCCCATCTAACATGTGTAGAACTGTGCTATCAATTTTTACATTTCTACATTTAAAAAACATGTCACCGATGAAGGTTTTGGGCGTTCTGTCCTGTCCCTAACCCTGTCTTCCCTATAAACCCTGTGGTTTTGGTTGAGCAATTTCGCACAGTATGGTGATTTTTAGAACACATGGGTGACGTTATAGCAGAACTGACTGTATTTCAAAATTAACCAACAAGACACTTATCTTCACTTCTCTCGACCTCAGCTTCTCAATCTATAAAAAGAGGGCTGGGCAAGAGGACACCTAAGGGTCCTTTCACACTACTATACTTTAGTTTTTTTTTTTTTTTAAGTCATGAACAGATAGATTTACTTTTCCCTTCTTTATTACCATTTACTTGAGAAATGCTCATTGAAGCATAAATCTACTTTATGCTTTGCCCCCTACATGTACTTCCTTTAGCTTTAGTGCCTTTTAAAATTTAGCCTCCCAACTATTAGGACCATCTAGGCAGGGCATATACATGGCTCTAATTCTTTGCCAATACCACCACAGAAGGGACATAAACTAGAGAATAAAACTGCCCCAAATTATAGTCACATACAAACTTCATTAGCATAGTCGTCGAAACTGGTAGATTCACACTGGAGAAAGTAAAAAAAGATCACGACAAAAAAAATCCCCCTTCCCATCTTTAAATCAATCACCCAAGAGATAAAAGTTAGCTAGTCTGAGAAATATTACCTCATATAAAATGTCCTAACATATTATGTGGCCCAAAGATTCAGTGACCCAACTGCTTCACTTGAGACGACCCCCGCCCCACCCCGCCAGAGAGGAGATGCATTTAGTGTCCCAAAACAGCAGAGAAATTTTGGCACCCAATACTGATTGCTATGGAACTCCAAAGCAACACTGTCTCCCTGGAAGAATTCCTAACTTTGCCCAAACTGCTCCCCGCGGCTCCTTAACAGGTCAATCAAAATGCGGTTAACGTTTATCCTAACAGCCTGGCATAGACTTACCTGTCCAGTTTAGTTTGATGCTCCACTCATAAAAGAAGATAAGTTTGCCTTTGCGGTTGTTAATGGATGCCTCTCCATCAAGCTTATTCACTTCTGTCACCTCACATTTGCCTTCCTCATTTTGCACTCGCACTGCCAGGAACAGTGTTTTCAGCTTATCCGTGGACCAATTTGAAGCATCCCTCTCTGTCCTGCAAAACAGAAATAACGCTATGGACCAGCAGCCAAATGAAAGACAGACTGCTTTCAAGGGAATCCAAGGCTAAAAGAGGCCTGACAAATAGTTTGAAAAAATCAGTCCCACTCCAGTACATCCACAAACACGTTATCCTCTTTTAGGAAAACAAGGAATCCCATACTGTCAATAAAGACAATGGCTGCATGGAATGGTTACAAGTCAAATCGAAAATTATGCTTTCCTTTCTCAGCATGATGGTGCTAGGGTCAGTATCTGACACTTAAATACGGCGCCCCCGTTTGACCAAATGGAAAACTGTGACCATCTTGCTGAGGTCAGGAGTACAAAAGTGGGCCGCAGAATGCACTATCTAGCTATCAAGTCCAGGAAGTAATACACTGATAATCTTGACCTCATTAGCACAGTGTTCTGACCTGTCAAATTCAGGCAGTGCTAGAAATCCCCTACACACTGTGTCCTCTAGATGGCCATGAAAACAATGTAAGTCAGGGCTTCAAAACAAACAAAAATTAGATCAAACATTTTGTATGTTAAGAGGAGAGCAGGCAGGCTGAGACACAGAGAAGAAAAATGACTCTCTGCCTCCCAATGTACCAAACAGTAGAAAAACCAGCAGGAAAAGAACTGCAACAAAGTAAAAAGACAGTGTGAACCGAGTTCAGTGGAGTGAAAAGATAAGGAAATACTTTTAATTTCATAAAGGAGAGGAGGCTTTTTAAAAGTGGTCATGTTATAAAACTATGATTGCCCAGCAACCAGGGGCAGTCCCGGGAGTTACTACACAACCAAATGAGTAGTTCCGGGTGAGAGGCCATGGCATCTTCAGCATCACTGAGCTCTCAGCACCTGCAGGACACGTTCCAAACCTTTGCCCTCTAGACTTAGGCAGCGGTCTCTTAGGGCTGACTCTGAATCTCACCGGTAAGCCGCAAAATAGCAATTCCAGCCCGGCAGCCTCGAGCTTAACCCGGCAGTCTCCCAACACAATCCACGGCGGTGTGGGTCTCACTGACTCCTCCGGCCACGTGTGGGAAGCATGTCCCCGCTCAGGCTGGATGCATCGGCTAGGAGGTTATGTTCTCGTATCTCTGGAACCCCTCCTCTGGGTGCAGCCCTCCCCGTCGCCCCCTTGCCCTCCAAACACTGAAACACAGGCAGGTGGTGGTCCGTGGAGGGACCTGGGACTACGGACCCCTGCCAGAGTGAGAACCCACCCCCTTCTCCGGGCACGGCTGCCCCGGGCCCTAGCTTTGTTCCGACCAAGGTTCCAGGGACCCGCAACCCTGGCCGGGCCGGAGCGCTCCCCGCGGCCTGGCCCGCTGGCCCTCACCAGTGCCAGTTGTTGACGTTGGTGGCGTCCGCCCGCTCCTCCACGATCCAGCGTGGGTCGCCCTCACCCCACTTGGCCATCGGCTCTCCTGTCGCACCGCCACCAGCTCCCGAGCAGCCACAGCCACAGCCTCAGGACCGCCTGGTCCCAGCCGCCCGGCAGCGCCTGGAAACTACTAGAAGCGGCTGCAGAACCTCCTGGCTTGCTTTTCCCTCCACCCCCCGCCCCTCCCCGCCTTAACTTCCGGCTCCTCCTCACTCTCACCAGGTACTTCCGTTCCACCTCATCGGACCTTAGCTTGTGCCTCTTCTAGAGTTCCTTCAGGCTCCCTCGGGTTATCCCTAAAGGGGCCCGAAATGCAACCGCTCATACAAGCATTCATCACCCGTAAGGCCACAAACAATACGTCTCATTGTTTCCCTAGCCTCTGAATTGGCCCTGCTGAGCCTCATGGGAATTGTAGTCTTGTTGAGTAACCCGCTGGATAACCTCGGAAGGTCGCGCTAAAAGTAAAGGAAACGACGTAGGCGCGGTGAGCTGGGAGTTCTGGGAGCTGTAGTCAAAGAGTTCTGTGTCCCGTCCAGAACACGCTTGACGGCGGAGGGGAAAAGGCTACAATATCCAGCATGCCCTGCGGCTCCCCTCTTGACTCACATTCCCTCCCACCGCCCCACTCCTCGAATAAGCTTCCGCCCATTTTCTACGCCGCCTAGCCTGACTAGAAAGGGTGGTCCAGCGGCGGAAGAGTCTGACGCTGTCCTGAAAGGGTGGGCTCGGTGTGGAAGAGGTGAGGGTGTCCCAAGCCGTGTGGGCCGCGTGTGTGGCTGATTCCAGCCTCTCCGCAAACATCCTTTTCCCCTATTCTCTTAGGCGTCCCTAGACACCCCCCAGGCCCGACTCTGGCAGTCGGAGCGACCGAGTACGCCGGGAGCCCGAGTACGCTCGGGATTGGGGCTGTTAGTGAACCTCGACATTTGATTTTGAAGGAGCATTTACTCTGCCAGCGATCCGCCGGGCTCTGGCGACTGCAGTAGATCCATGGCTTCCTGGACGTTCGCCCGTAGAGTCTTCTTCGGTTAACCCACATTCCCTGGTCTTAGTTCATAGCTTCACCTTGTAATAAGCCTGGCTCCGAAGATCATAATTGAATCTGAATCTAACTTCTCGGTAGCTGGTTTGTGAAGCGTCCTGAAGCAGGGGGCGTGTTGGTTGTGTATTTTTTTCCTGATGCCTGTTTTCCTTTGCTTTGTTAATGTTCCTTGGATTTGCTGCCCTGTCTTGTGGGCTTTAAGTGAACAGGTGACGATAGGAACAAGCCTCTGCTGTATTTGAAATCATGTTGAAGCACCTTTTTCAGTCACTTTTAAAATCGTACCTGGTTGGTGTAACTTCTAGAGACGTTAAATTAACTTTATCTCTTTCCTTGGCAAGTAAATCTAGGCTCTGATTTGGCTTTAGAAGTACAAATTGGTGTCAAGTATCCACTGCGGTTGCATGGTTAAAAAAGATTCCAGAAATCCACTGGTGGATTACTGGGCTTGTTGGACATATGCATGCTTGATATTTATTTACTGCAGGGAAGTAAGGACCTGCCCTGGTTTTCCCTAGGGTGAAACAGAGAAGGACCTTGCATGTCAGAGTGGAAAGGATCCAGGAGCCTGAAAACCTGGATTATAGGAGCAATTAGCAAAGTGGTTTTGGTACCTAATCCTTTTGTGCCTCATTTTCCTCATCAGTGAAATAGAGATGAAATCTACTAGGCCTACCTTACAGAGCTGTTGTGAGGATGACAGAGCGCTCTGTAAGTTGGTATCTGTGCCAGGGACATTTACATGCTCTACAAAGTCTTCCGTGTTTGTGAGAGCCATTCTCAGCATTTTTGTGTCAAGTTAGTTGTTTTAAATCTTTAGGATTGCTTAAAAAATATTTTCTTTCTAGCTTTTTTTTTTTTAAAGATTTTATTTATTTGACAGAGAGAGACACAGCGAGAGAGGGAACACAAGCAGGGGGAGTAGGAGAGGGAGAAGCAGGCTTCCCGCGGAGCAGGTAGCCTGATGTGGGGCTCGATCCCAGGACCCTGGGATCATGACCTGAGCCGAAGGCAGACGCTTAATGACTGAGCCACCCAGGCGCCCTTCTTTCTAGCTTTTTCCAAGTTACCATGATGCTTTGTTAATAAAAAGCAATACTGAGTATTAATTTTGTGTCAGGCACTAAGTGCTCTACAAGTTTTTTTTTTTTTTT